TTTTTACCCCCAAACGTGTGATTTGTGATACAAAAATATTAAACATTATTCAAAATGATTGTACATTTTTTTACAAAAAAATGTTTGATTTTATATTTTCCAGAAGAATTCATCGAATAAAACTTTAAATGCATATATGTTGAAAGGATCAAATCAGGATATTGATAATGAAACATCAGAATTAATTAATTCATGCTATCATCCCATAAATAATTAGACTCCATAGGGTACCACACACTCGATATCCAGCCTGTTTTGATGGCTAAATGAAATCTGTCTTGTTATGTCCAAATAATTTAAAATTAAAAAAAACATCCTCTAGCACTCACTAATATCCAGTTAGTCATATAATTTAGTCAAGCTTTTTTGATTAGATTAATCCAAAAGAGCAAGTGGCCGTGCACGTTCTTCAAGCCAGAAATCCCAGAATAGATATATGTTGACTATGAGGAAACATTATCTACATTTTATAACCTCACCTAGCCACAACAAACACAAACTAAATATTAATGAGAAAACTAACCGATTTATCCTTTTATGCTTAAACTCGATTATAGTTTCAGTCTCTAACATTGATTCAGTGCAACTCATCGGTCTTTATAACTTAACCGTCTCAAAGTTGGTTTCTACATTTTTTTAAAAAACAAAGTTTTATGTTCCCGAAACTTTAGAACTGAAGTTTTAAATGATCAGAATCATATATAGAGAACTAAGTTATGGTGAGTTAAAGTTTAAAAACTAATTAAGTTTTAACATAAAAATTATGAGAATTGAGTTATATTGGGTGCAAGTTTTAATTAGTGAGTTTACTGAGTCAAAATCATATGAACCTAAATATCACTTTTTTTCAGTATTAATTAATGTTGAAGATGATTAGGAATTCCATGGATTGTGATCTTTCTAGGAAGCAGCTTAATAAAATAAAAAGAGCAAGTTGCGGAATAAAGTTGGGAGTTCAAAGTGAAATGAATTATTGAACATAAGAAAGGACCCATATATTGACTTCCAAATTGGCTTCTTCTATACATTATTGAGGAGCTGAATTCAAAGTCATCACAAAGTGGCATACTTCTTTAGACATCTCAGTCTCTTGGGAACTATGCACATACACATCAGATCTCACTTTAGTACACCATAACAACAGCTAAGATTATTGAACTTTAACTTTTGACATGCCAATTAATGTTTAACGTTTATATACACGCCTATACAAGACATCTAATATTGAATAGGGAAAATGATATTAAAAAAAGTTAAAAATTGTAATATTTTAGTTTAAGCACTTAAGACTTCAAAATTTTAGGGAAGGAAATGATTTCTGCAAATGTAATTAAATGACAAAATTGCTCTTGTATCAAAAAGTTTATTAATAAGTTATAAACTAGTAATGATAAGTGTTAAACAGCAATGATGAGAAATGTTTTCACAATAACAAATTATTTATTAATAAGCTGTAAATTGGCAATAACAAGTATTGAATAACTAATGATAAGAAATGTATGGGTAATGACAAGTTTGATAACTTTTTTTTTAAAAAAAATGATACAAGAACATTTTAGTCATTTGACCACATTTGCAAAATACTAGATCAAGCACCACTTCCTTTCATAAGATTTTGATCTCTTAAGTGCTTGAATTTAAATATTGCAATTTTCAACTCATTTTTTTGGGGTCATTTTTCCTATTGAATATTGATACTGAGGACTTTATTTTGATTTTAAGCGTATGATGTTAATTTATTTTACCTCTCAAATTTATAATTTTTTTTTCAAATTTAGCTATGGAATTATTTCTTAATGCAAATAATTAGCAGGGTAACTTATGAAAACTAATGCTTATTTTTTCAACAAATACTTACTTATTAGAAGACACTTCTAGAAGTGATAATTCTTATTATATTTCACTCGATGGGGGCATTAATTAATGTACTTAATGTCGCTAAGTTTAATCACGGAAAAATAGACATTATAAAGAGCATATAGTTTTTCTTTAATAAACATAATTTTTGGCCAAAGACAACATCAATTACTATCATTTTTAATGTATTAATTTTACTTAATCTACCAAATAAAATCCTGAAGAAAGGCACAAAAAGAAACGGATGAGTACTTAACAAGTTTGTGAAGCTGGCTACTTCTGGATAGATGGATAGGTAATAATATATTACCCCAATCCTTAATATAAGAGTCAGTTGACTAATTTAAGTAGACAGAGTAAATTAGTTAAGTTATTTATTTGTAATAAGAATGTGTTGTCTTTTTTAAGATATCATTACCAATCAAGTGTCTTGATTAGAACTACCATTATTATAAGAAACTACTTTGAAATAAATAAATAAATATGAGAGATAAAATGAATTAGGATATTATATTTAAGATCAAAATAAAAGTCAACTAAACTCTTATATTAAGGATCAGAGGTAGTACAATGTTTGAAATTTAATTATTAATTATTAATTAAGATTATGATTACTTGGCGGACCCAACTATAATTAATGAAAGCTTTATCTTTAACTCGTAATTAGGATTAAAATAACAAGAACCTTATCTTCACGTATTCATTATTTAGACGTGATTATTGTTTGCTTGCTTGCTCCACCACCCACACTGCAAAACAGCTTGCTCTCCCTTTAGTTTGGGTAATAAGGCACGCTGTTCCTTAATATAATATATCTTTAATCCGTTTTGCTTTATTTTACTTTAATTTGATTATTTTATTTTACTTCTTTTGAGTTTCATTTTTAACCTTTAATTTGAAGAAGTCACCCACATAATGTCGCTCTTGCTTTCTAAATTTTTTTAAAGAAAATTTTTACTTTGAGAAATATGAATTATTTAATTCATATAGTTTTGACTTAATTAAAACTTGGTCATTAAATTTTGACTAGATGTAATTCAGTTCTTGTAAATTTAAACTTGATTAAACTTTGATATGATGTAACTAAATTCTTGTATATAAAAAAAAAATTTCGGCACAGAGTTTTACATTATTTATGTTTAATGTGATTAATTTACAAAAACCAGCTAATATTAGAAAAGAAAATTTGATTTATGTTTTAATTTTTTAAGAGAAGAATAAGAAGAGCCGTTAAGTTTTTCATTGGGCCTTTTCATGGCTGGAAAAGAGAGATGGCAATTTGGCCCAGATAGAGTTAGGATATGGCAGACCAATTGTATGATTGAGCCGTTTTGGAAAGAGGACATCTGAGCCCAATTAAAATGAAGGCCCACATTTGTCCAAACTCTGACCTCAACGTGGATCTTCCCTTCCATATGCAATAGGTATATGAATCTAATCAAGATGTCTAATCGCTAATAGGAGTTGTTGGGTCTAACAGAATGAGTTAGTTCTTCACAACGTGATGAATCAAGGTTTGAATCTCAACTGAGAGAGGTACCCACATTTAGTACTTAACAATACTTTGAATATGATTGCCTCTGTTAGGAAGATACCTATGCTTTAGGGGGAAAAAAATAAAATCAAAATGTATAATCCATATAATCAGGCAATTAAATGCGTCCAATTTAATTGGATAAAAAAAGTAGTTGATATAATTAGGATTTTTGTTTTACATATTAACTATTCAATTCAATTCCTTATTATGGGATGTTCTATGTTTGATTTATTTCTATATGCTACTTGATTTGGCTTACGCATATGCAGATTTTGCATTTATGTTTATAACTCCCATCAAACGCCAAGTGAAAAAAAAGGCTCATTAATAATTAAAAATAATAATAATAAATGGTATCACATATTCCAATTTTCATGAATAAAACCCCTTAATTATCTGCAGAGTGCGATCTTCCTTTGATGAACAAAGTGCAATGGATTGTTATGGATAGCGATAGGTTGGCAACAAAAGTTGTACTTGTACACTCAAAATAATTTGATGGGCCCAGGTATTCATTAATGTCTAAGGTTGTTGTTGTATTTGATTTCCCTTGTTTATATGTTCAATATTATATTGTTTTTTTAAAACGAAAAATTACCTCTCATGATAGGGATGAGTTTGATTTTGGTTTTCCTGCTTCTTTGCCTACAGAACGCTTCATTTACCAATAAGACTAGGTTTAGCAGAATGTGGTTAATTTCTCACAATATAATGAATTAAGGCCTAAATCCCGAGATGCATACATTTAGTACTCGACAATATCTTAAAAAGGATTACTTTCAACAAAAAAATACATGTGCTTACCACGTTTCAGTTCATGAATCTACTTTCTGACTCATAAGCAAGAACAAGTCCCCACAATATGTTTGTAATTACTCTCATACATCTATTATTATATCTTTAATGTTCGTATGGGTTGAACATTAGGGTTATTATGTTTCTATTGAGTCTGTTTGGTTTTTGGTTAGTCTCAGTAACAGCTTGAGCTTCAATTGGTCTCTGCTTAGGTTCTAAAATTGAAACCCCATAATATGCATCTTTTTACTTTGTTTTAAATAAAATTGTTTCCTTATCAAGAAAAATGAAATTAAAAGAATTTTTTTAAGACTTGTAAAATGTATTTGGAACTTGGAAGTAAACAATTCAAATCGTCCTCCAAGACACCATTTCTTTTTCAAAGTTTCTTTTTTTTTTTTTGGGGTTCCTCGATTCTCTAAATTATTGTCCTTGTGTTATTTTTTTTATACTCTATTACTAATATCATTTTGATTTTTATAAAAAATACTGTCGCTTAATATAAAATCTAATTATAAAATTGATTTTAATCTTAAATATAATATTTATTTTTTATATTTATCAATTTTTGTAAATTACCGTTATTGATACTAACGTATTTTATAAAAAAATATATCATATTTATTATAATTAATTAACTTACTCAACTTTTTTTAATTTAATAAAATTAAGTTAAATGTGTCTCTATGTTAAACATCATACCAGCTTATGACCATATGCAAGTATGTATAGGGGGAAGAGTGAGGGAGGATGTAAATAGCGGCGGCTCGTGGGCAGGCCAGTCCTAGTGCGCGCAATAATATAATGGAATAGTCAGTCAGTATGAATGCGGCATGCAACTTCGTCTGCTTTGGAAAAAATGAATTTACGGTGAAATGATTGATGTTGAGCTCAGGAGGATTCTGACAAGAACACATACCTGATTGCTTACGCTGATCACAACAGAACTATGCCTGCCTTTATATAAATCATGTCTGCTTCCCCCTCTCTTTCTCACATCCCTCTTGGATTTCCACCTATTAAGCTCCCATTTCATGGCTTGGAGAGGAATTTTAGGTTTCGATTACGGCATAGTTCAGGCTCCTTTGGGCCCCGATATCTCTGGTCCGCATCTTGTCGCCGCCGTCGCCAACGCCGGTGCTCTCGGATTTCTCAGAGCCCCTGATTGGGTATGCTATCCCTCTATTTTAAAAAAAAAAAAAATTGTTTTCCGTTTTTCGCTGAAAATAATCACTGCTTCTTCACTGGTTTCGAACATACCATCATTGTTACGTGCTTTCCAGTTTTAATATAGAGTGATCAATTCACCTTGAGTTTTCCCCATGACGCTATCGTTTTATTTATTATTTCAAAAATTGACTGCACCAATCATCTGGTTATCAGACTGGCAGGCCGTTCTAGACTTAAGCTTCCAAAAATTAGTGACGGCATGAGATGCTGCTGAAACTATTGCTTTTCCCCCTTGTAATGATTGCATTGTAATCTTGAATCTGCAATAGAACGAACTTCGTTTGTATATCTCTGAGTGTCATTCAGAATCCAGGAAAAGAAGAAGGAACAGAAGAAAAGTGCTCTCCCCCCCCCCTCTGGCTTGGATTCGTACTGTATCTTTGACGTGAATGTTGCAATTTGTTATGTTTGATCGGAATTTCTCCATCAGGAATCGCCGGATTACTTGAGGGAGCTCATAAAGAAAACTAGGACCTTAACTGACAAACCGTTTGGGGTTGGTGTTGTTCTGGCATTTCCCCACGAGGAGAACTTGAAAGTCATTTTGGAAGAAAAAGTTGCGGTCTTACAAGTTTATTGGGGTGAATGTTCAAGGGAATTGGTTATTAAGGTTCATTCAGCTGGGGTCAAGATTGTTCCCCAAGTAAGTAATTAATTCCATCTGTATCAATGATACGTCCTATATGCAAATGCTACTTGGAAGTGGTATGAGAAATTGGTATTCATGTTTATATCATGTTAACTTGGTTCAATATTATTGGATTTGAATTCTGTGAAATATGTGAAGTTTTACAAATTATATACTTCAAAAGTTCCAAATTATGGTTAATATCCGAGCAGAATTAAGAGCATGGAACTTTGTATTGTCCTTGTGTGGAAAATGCAAGGACAATTTGTTCCCCCTCAACTAGGACAAGATTTTTCAAGGTTAATATTCCTTGTGATGTTCAAATGGCATTCTAACATATCGATGATCTTTGAGTTGGATGCCCTCTAATTTCCCTTTCCCTTTAAAATAAATTGAAAAATGTATGAAATAAACTGGAAAGTGAAAAGTGGAGCAAGAAACTGGGTAATTTTGGAGACCTGTGATTTAGATTAAATGAAAGATTGTGTTTTTTGGGTCAGGCATGCTGCTTTCTGATTGTAGTTTTCTATTGCATACTTTGTGGTTGCTTAGCTTTTACTGATATTAGAATCTGATCTGTCACTTGTGATCCTATTGGAGGTTGGGACTGTAGCAGGAGCAAAAAAGGCAATTGAAGCAGGTGTGGATGGGATAATTGTACAAGGAAGGGAAGCTGGTGGTCATGTCATTGGTCAGGTGTGCAACCTTATCCTAATTCTAGAGTGTGAACAACTTCACGACCATTGGTTATTTACTTCAGTGCTCATATATAAGTTTGTTGTTAGCTTACCGTAACAATAAGTACGATAGCTGGTATAAAATAAGGCCTGTAATTGAATACGATTCAACAAGCAGTTCTTGTAATTTCTGCTCTAAAATTTTCTGGGAGCCTTCATGATCTGCTTAGTATCGTGCCTCTCTAGTTCAATCTCTCTACAGCTTTAATTATTATTGAAATGAAGATCGTTTTTACTAGCAATAACTCTGACTCTCAGAGCTAGTCTTCAAGTATTTTTAGTATCTATTACTCAAACTGTCATCACATGGCCAAATAATCAGAGAAAGAATAATAAATAGGAGTAGAAATTAAATATGTATAAGACTCACCTTTTCTCTTTACATCTATTCCTCTTTCTCTTCAACTGTATTGTATACAATCAATTATAACTACAGTGGATCCATCTCTGTTGTACTTCAAGGGAGAATCTAGTCTCATTATTCTCCCAGCAACTATTTAACGCGGCTGCATATGAGTGATAGCTAATAGTATTTTTAAGCACTGAAGTATGTCAGTACATGTTTAATACAGCTGCTGAGTGATATTGTTGCTTTCATGTTCTGCATCTAATTCCAGGAATCTTTAATAGCACTGGTGCCTCGGGTGGTTGATCTTGTTGGAGACAGAGACATACCTGTTATTGCAGCAGGAGGAATTGTGGATGCACGAGGATATGTTGCTGCTCTGGCACTTGGTGCCCAAGGCGTCTGTCTAGGAACTAGGTTAGATATATTATATTTTACTAGAAACATATTTAAGGAAAGTGTTCTTATATTCCAGCAGGTATCTCTTAGCATATTCAACAGGTGTTGAGGGAAAGGTTCCTATATAGTAATTTTTTAAGGCTAACCGCAGAATATAAAATCAGACATTGTTCCTTGCGAGGTCTGATAATGAATTCACATTGTGCCTGTTTAACTTAAGATCTCTATAGGTTGGCTGGGGACAACACTAGAGCAAAAGGAAATGCTTTAATTTATTCTTCAATAGATTGACTGAGTTCTCAGCCGAATGACCCTATCGGTTTATAATCTTTCCAAAATCATTTTCCTAGAAGAACAGTGATAGCTGTATGTTAACAAGATTTGAAATATAAATTTTATCTAGATATCTATCCAGAATGTTTTCTGTTTTGTAATTTTTTTATACTCTTTATCATCTGTGACCAATGATTCTCTATGCGCATTCTCATCTCTATGTGCCTAGTTATCCACTTAAGCCTTTTCTTATCTGCATCTTACCCTTATCCTAAGTTGCTACTAAATAGAAGGATCTTACCAACATTCGTAAATGATAAATCACAGCACATATTGAACTGCTGGGTCAGAAAAATTGCATGCTGTCTTATAGCATTGTATCAGTATCAGCTAAGTTCATGAGTTGGAGAAAAGCTTTGTATCAGTCATGATAGAATCAAGACTAATTTTAGTTGACGAGGATTTGAACAATAGGACTGCCCCCCCCCCCCCCATTACTACTTTGCTTGAATGACATACTCGGTTAAAATCTGACTCATTTCTGCCTTATATCCCTTGTGTATTTATACTTGAAGAATCTTGTTTTCAGGTTTCTAGCCACTAGGGAAAGCAATGCTCACCCTACATACAAGAGGAAATTGGTTGAGCTTGATGAAACTGAGTACACTGATGTATTTGGCCGGGCGAGATGGCCGAGCGCACCTCAGCGTGTGCTGGTGACAGCTTTCTTCAGCGATTGGAGATCCCTTCCACCCCATGAAAATGAAGCCAACCAGCCCATCATTGGCCATTCAAAGATTAATGGATTGGTAAGGTTCCAGCTTATGCATATTTCTTTGGTTTTTTTTTTTTGGGGGGGGGGGGCGCAGGGGATAAAGCTTATGCATATTTCAATAGCATGTACGTGAGGGCGTTTAGCATGTATTAATTGATGCTTTGCACTCATTTGGTACATAGAATTGAGTGAAAAATGAGAAAAAAGCAAAGTGATTTGAAGATGAAAAATAACTTTAGTGCCCTTATTTAAAGAAATGATGAAAATGAATTAGAACTTTTGATTAATATAAGATACTGTGGGGCCTGAATTTCAGCTTTCAAAACGCAAAATAAGAACAAATAGAGTTGCCACCAACATTTTTTGAAGGAGAACTCTGGATGACCTTTAGAACAAAAAATGGTCTGCAAAAAGAGAAAAGAATATGGGAGTCACAAAAAGAGAAAAGAATATGGGAGTCACCTGCACCCATTCGTCAAAATAGTTACCTTAAGTTAATTGCAAAATGGCACCTTTTACCAGAATACTTTTTTACCTCCCCCCCCAACATGGCATGAAAGAAGTAAATGAAATTTGTTGGTTAATTCTCATTCAAAGTAAAGCGGACAAAATAACATGTGTTAACGATTATTTATAAACTTTAGTCTGGCCTTAGAAATTAAAGATGAGAATATTCTAGAAATTCTAAAATTAATTTTAAATATTCAAAAAGATAATAATAAGAAAAAATTGCTGAAAAATCACTCATTACAAAATTTATTAGCCAAAGGCACATATAAAATTTCAAGTGGAATTTTTTTTCAGTAGTATGCAACGTATATTTAATTACATATAAAATGAAAGACATTTGCACATAAATGATAATATGTTGTACATAGTTGAAAAAGATTTTCATTCAGTCAAAAACCTGAGTTTTTAGGTACCTCTGGGCAATAAATTTTTTTGATGGGAATTTTTCAACGATTTTCCCTAATAATAATTGCTAAAAGACAACAATAGCTCACATATTACAATAATTAAAATAAAATATTCCTAAATCTTAAAATTGATTTTTAAAAGTCTGATGAGTTTTCAGAATCTTCTTATGAAAATTCAATTTCTTTTCTTGTTTCCATCCTAGAGTCTATGAGTTCTTTTTCTTGGTTGGTCTAAGTTGGGATTGAGCTAAAGCCTAATTTATTATTGAGTACCAAGTTCACCCACCTCGATTTCAGCCTATGTTTGAAGGTCGGGTAGTGGTCCAATTTCCAAGACCAAGATCAGCCCTCGTTTTATCTTCATATAAGCAACAGCTTGTTCTAAAATTGAGGGAAGACAAAAGCTAGATGACGAATTTAACATGTGTTACAAATGAATATGACTTTCTGTCTAAAGCCTAGGCTTGCTTATTATGTTGGAGTGAATGGCCTATTCCACCAGCATAGATTTTACATGTTATTTGAATGTTGGAGAATCACACTTTGTTTGATGCTACGAATTTCTAGCATGAAAACTATATTCTATGTAGTGTTTCTGTAACTGCACTATTCTGCATAATCCCACATTTTTCTATCGAACAGGAGAAAGAGATTCGTCGATTTGCGGGAACAGTGCCAAACATGTCAACTACAGGGGACCTGGAAAGCATGGCTATGTATGCTGGGCAAGGTGTTGGTCTCATAAGGGAAATCCTGCCTGCTGCTGAAGTTGTGAGAAAGTTGGTTGAAGGTGCTCAGCTTCTGATTCACCAAAACTTCCAGCAGCAGTACAAGTGAAGTCGTAATATAGAGTAGACCTCCCACTGTTTCTTACTGAATCTGCCTCTTGTTTAAATTCAGATATGTTTTCCGGTGTGTGATGTTTGCAAGTTGAGGCCTCACTGGTTTGAGAAACAATAAGTGTACTCCATTTGAAGTTTTCAGCCTTGATCAATAAAGACAGAAATTTACCTTAGCCTGCATGAGGGATTATTTTCCCTTGAATCTTAGCTGCTAGTTGGGAGTCTTATTAGCTCTAATATCTTAATTCACTTTATCTTTCAAATTATAGTCAAATTATTTCCTATTAAACATTGATCATCCATATTAAAGGAAAGTTTTTTTTTAATTGGCAAGCTACTGCTTGCTTAGCAGGTTCAAACCTCGATTCTTCATGTTGTAAGAGCGCATCCTACGCCATCAAGCAAAAAGGCCTTGGACAAAAGAACGTTTTCTATATAGGGTAGTTTCTGTTGTAAATTATTCAAAAGAATATTATAGAAAAATTAACATAATTTTTTTTTTACAAACAAGTAACTTAACTGACTTACTCAATGTTTATAAATTAGTTTTGTAATACTTATACTTAATACTGAAGAGAGTAATTACATATGATTGAAGACAATAATAAGATGAGTAAGAAGTGATAAGGTTAAGCTACGGAACAAAGGTGTCTAGTAAGCGGAATCTTACATGGCACCTTTATATTATTTGGAAGATCTTTTGCAAGCAAACAAATCAAATGGTACTTAATTGTTGGCCTTCCATGTGATCCAAGGGTAAGTAGGTGACCCATGAACATCAGTACTATATTATTAATTTTACTCCCTATTGGGTAGGGCTTCTAGGGAATCAAATTTTTCAATAAAACAGCCTAGAAAAATGTTATTAACTATTAGACACAAAATCAAGGATCAATAATCATCAATAAAAAAAATATAAAGTATATACTACATTCAATTCTTAATATAAGAATTAGATAACTAATTTATAGATAATAAGAAAATTAATTAATTTAATTATTTGTAACAAATATGTCTTGCTTTTTCTAAAGTAAATTCTTTAATCATGTGCATTAAAATTACTCTTTAATTGGGAGCCTCTTTTTTAATAAAATCAATCAATAAAGATATTTTAGAAAAATAAATTATAAATTGGTGAGGTAAAGTTAATTGAGATTTTATATTTATGAAAACTTTGTAATTAAAGTAGTATATAGGAAAAATTAAAAATTTTAATTCCTATAATTTATCTAATTTAAAAATTGGCTGCCCCCGATTTTTCATTTTACAAAATAAACTCCTGTTAAAATATAACCAGTCAATAAAAAGAATATATGAGTGGATGTATTTTAGGCTTTTATTTTTATATCACACGTGACTTCAATAATTTCACTGCCGAAAGATCTGATAATGCCAGCATCGTACGTTTGATCTTCCGAATCTGTTGGGAATATATTATGGCAAGTTAGGAGGCAACAATAGTACCCATGCGGTCCTAAATATAAGATCCTTATATACACTTGTATAAGGGTATTACATTTAGGACCGGAAGAGTATTAAATTTGAAAAAATTGCAATAAAATCCCATTTAAGAGAATTAAATAAAAAAAATCTCTCAAAATCATCAAATTGTTCTTAAGTCTTAAGAGACCTCATTATAATAAATTTTATTTGTTTAATTACCAAATTGCTCTTGCTTTGTTTTTCTTTTAAAGTTTGCATTGACAACTGAAAGAATAATCATTAATAACTCAAAATATAAGGATTAACAACTATTACGGCAGGTATTGATAACATATTTTCTTAGCACATCACAAAATATAATGCATGAGTTGTTAATATCTATTGCGATAATTATTAATCCTTACATTTTAAGTTGTTAATGACTGCTCTTTTAGTTGTCAATATAAACTTAAAAAAAGAGCAATTTGGTAATTAAACAAATAAATTCTCTTGTAATGAGATCCTTGGAGTTTCAGAATAATTTGATGATTTTAAAAGATCTTTTTATATTTAATTTTCTTAGGTGAGATTTTGTTGTAATTTTCCCATTACTATTTGAGATGACAAAGCAGGGTTGATATTATAAGATATTTTCAAACAAAAAAGTGTGGTTCTTATTTTGAGTAATAGTATGTAGCTATGCTGCTTAATAAAAATTAATTAATTAATTTAAATAAATTAAAAAAATTAATTAAATTAGTTATTTGTAATAAATATATTTGTCTTTTCAAAATATCTGTATTAATCATGTGAACTAACTAAAACTACTATTTAGTGAAATCTTTAATATATACAACTATTACAAGGATAATTTTAAAAAAAATTATAAATACATAAGATAGAGTGAATCGTAATATTATATGTAGATCACATTAAATGTCAAACTAGCTAGTTATATTAAAATCAAATGTAGTGTTAGATATTTGATAAACTTTTTTAAGATTGTTCCCATTTAGTGTTTGATATAAATATTTTTTTTATTCAAGATTTATTCACAGTTTTTTTCTTGGGTGAAGTTTTTTTTTGTTTTTCTATTCATAGTTTTTAAACAGGGATTAAATAGACTTAATAATTATGAAATGATTTTATTGCCCCAACGTACGTTTCTGACAAGCACATGGGGGCAACTTGTCATTTGCGATGTGCGCGTGCGCTGTTCATATGCTGCCCAGACCTCTCATAAAAAATAAATTAACTATTTTTTAAAATATAAGAAAGGGAAAATGACAGATAAAGAAGGCTGAAATAATAAAATGCCAGAATGGGAAGCTAAGCAAATGTATTACCAGATAGGGAAGTGTTGCCTGATTTGGGATTATGCAAATGTTGCACAATTACAAAACAGCCCCTGTCAGTCAGCGTTTGAAAGCGGAGAGAGAGAAGGCGCGCGCGAACACTCCTGCACTGACCGTCGTGCTTCCCGGTTTCTCGCTTCCACCATCCCCATTGTTGCCCTAAAAACGCCGGCAAGCTGGACAGTTGAGGACCCCGAAATAGTGTGTGCGTAAGAGAGCAGAGGAGTTGGAAGTGGAAGGGCGTGCTGTTCGAAGGGCGAACGTGGTCGCGTCTGACTGATTGTGTGGAAAGACGAAGGTTGGCGCACGGTGATTCACCATTGCAGTTAACAAGCATCAACAGCATTTCAGTGAGGTAAGTTCAGGCATTTAAGTTTCGTGCTGTGGTCGACGTTTCTGGGTGAGTCTGGGAATCAATGATAGGGCAATATTTAGATATGACGCGATGAAGTTTGTGAATGACAGGAATGGCGATTAAGGGTTTATGCTGAGTCGCTATGGCAAGCTATTCTGTTTTTAATAACGTAGTTGAGAACTGGAAAAATGGGTTTTGAAATCAGTAGGAAAATTGTCTGATTGACTGGAAAAATTATATGAACAACTGGAAATGACAATAACATACTGGTAAATGACTATGATCGAACCTAAAATGACCATATTCATAGTAATGACCTTACTGTCTGAATGAGTGGAAAGATTATATGAATAAACTGGAAATGACAATACCAAACTGGTAAATGACTATGAAGGAACTTGAAATGACCATATTCATAGTAATGACCTTACTGTCAGACTGTAATGGCCATGTTGGTAATGACAATGAATTAAGTGGGAATGACCATATTCATATTAATGACCTAACTGTTAGTCTGTAATGGGCATATTGGTAATGACAATAAGTTAACTGGAAACGACCATATTCATACCGGCATCCTTACTGTCACTCTGTAATGGCCATATTGTAAATGACAATGAATTAATTGGAAATGACCATATTCATAGTACTGACCTAACTGTTAGTCTATAATGGGCATATTGGTAATGACAATAAATTAACTGGAAACGACCATATTCATACCAGCATCCTTACTGTCACTCTGTAATGGCCATATTGTAAATGACAATGAATTAATTGGAAATGACCATAACGAATCTGGAAAGAACTAGATGTGTAGTAAATGTATTAAAATTATGATTTAATGATGGTACCTTGATGACTTTGCAGAACTATACGAGATGGTGTTGGAAGAAGGGGAAGGGTCCACAAGCAAAGGAGTCCACAGTGGGCTTGTGTTGTTCAGAAGGGAGTATATGGCTAAACGAGGTGAGAAGTGTAAAAACGCAAGAGAAGAAAAAATTGAAGTGGGGAAGGCATGGAGGGCCCTGAGTGAAGAAGAGAAAGATAGGTATAATGAGAGGGCAAGGAAAACGAAGCCACAGAAAGGTGAGAAGAAGAAGTATGATGTTCCCTTGTACACCCGGTGCTCATTGCCCGGATTTCTATCATTGGCTGAATATGTGAAGAAGAACAGGCGGTTGAGGCAGAAAGTTCAGAGGATGGGATTTGGGAACTTGCTTAATGTGAATGTGAAGCAACTTCCACGTGATCTACTTGTGTCATTGTTGAGATGCTATGACCCACCAACGCATTTTTTGACCATTAGAGGGCAAGGGCAGGCAATTGAGGCAAAAGATGCGCATGAGTTTCTAGGTGTACCTGACAGTGGGGAGGAAGTGAAATCTGATGTTAGTGAGGATGACCCGGAATACAAGAGGTTGAAGGACACTTATTGGAAGGTTCCATTTACCCAGATACTGAAGAGGATATTATCTGGGGAAGAAAGCGACAATTTTGAGTTCCTATTTATGCTTTATACAGTTGGAGCTTTTCTATGTCCTGGGTCAAGCACAACTGTACATATACGTTTGTTGAAAGTGATGCGTCACACGATGAATGGGTTTGGAAATATGATTGGTCAACGTACATAATCAAGAACCTGTGGAAGGAAATGGGAGACTTTGTGAAGATGACAAAGAAGAAGAAGAAAGGAACCTGCAATGTTGGAGGGTGTCTTTATTTGCTGCTGGTAAGTCAATATTTTTCTTATGGTTCACTATATTTTTGTCTTTTGTTATTGTTGCAGAAGTGTGACCTATCTTTATTTGGTTTTGCAGCTGTATTTTGTTGAGCGTTTCCCGCTGGGATTGTCTGTTGACCGGGGTTCAACAAGCGCCATTGAATATTGGACCGAGGAGAAGATAAAGGAGAGGGTGGAGAAAGAGAGAGGCAGCAGCATGGGAATATTGCATGGAAGCAGTGGCAGCGAGGTATACTCAGCAGGACATGAGGACAGTTCAATTTTGCAGTCTTTAGATCCGGTATGTGGGAACTTAGAAAATATACGTGACCTGAGTTTAAGTCAGTCTATTAGCAAGGTTGATACTTGAGATGACAAGACTTTATTTAGAAATGACCAGTGAGATACTGGCATTTGATAACAGTGAACAATTTTTTTGATATCTTCATTTACTGTGTATGCAGGCATTGAAGGAGTTGAGGGCTCGTTTTGTGAAGAAGCTTGAAGAAAGCCAGAGGACGTTAATGAAGGCTCTTGATGATGAGCTACTCAAATTGCAGATTGGATTGAACGCCAAAGTTAAGGGGATGGGGAATGAGAATGCCACTGCTAAAGAAGGGGTTGAAACAGTTGGTGATGCAGCTGGTAACGATGCTGAAGAAGCTGATGATGTTGACCGAGTGGTGGAGGAGATTGCAAGAGAGGTTGCAGCGGGAAGTGCAGATGAGGAACTTGATGAGGATGAAACCAGCAAAGGAGATGATGAGAAGGATGAGGATGAGGAACAACATGACCTTCATGACAGGGAAGTCAGTGATGATTACATGGTTGAGGAGGTGGAAGAAGAGGGTGACCGTGATGGTCATGGAGGTGATGACGACGACGACGAGGATGAGGAGGAAGATGACCATGATGACAGGGAAGGAGGTCATGTGGTTGATGAGGAGGAAGATGACCATGATGACATGGAAGTCAGTCATGATTATGTGGTTGAGGAGGCCGAAGATGATGATAAGGAGGTTCGGGATTCAGATGATGAGGGGGAGGAAGCTACACATGTACTGACAATGACCCCTACCAATGTTCCTTTGCTGTTGGATCGAGAATGGGTGAGCAGTGACAGTGGGGAGGAAGGAGGGCCTGAAAAATCGATTGACCTTCGGAGGTCAACAAGGGCAAAGAGTTCCACAATTAAATCTCCGTGGATAGAATTCAAGGCAGCTCCGAGGACGAAGAGGCCAAAGGAGGAAAGTGACATCTTTTTCACTTTAATATCCCGTAGACCCAAGGGAGAGGAAGAGGGGAATATGTAAGTATATCCGTAGCTAGTGTTTTGTTTTTAAATGACACAGTGTGCCCTGAAAATGACAGCAATAGGATTGAAAATGACAATAACATACATGGGAATGACAAGTATTGATGTCCCCAACACCATACTTTCTGTCACTGACATCTGACAATGTTTGCAGGACTGTCATCAAAATGTTTGATGAAGATATAGACCGACAACAGCTGTTTTCCCTGGGTGGAGTGAACAGAGTAAATAACAGGGTATTTAAGAATGCTCTGTCCCTGCACCCACGATTATGTTTGATAATGTTTGGTGAGATTATTGTACCAGAATGACGTTTTCACTTGTGTTCTGTAGGTGCTTAATTTGGTGTGCAAGGCAGTGATGGAGGACATGAAGGCAGAGTTGGGGCCAGGGAAGAGGCACATTTTCGATGTTGATTTCATGGTGAGGTTGCATAATTCCAAATGCAAATACCAATGACAGCAATTGAATTGGAAATGACTTGTTCTCTGTTAATGGATTAACAATTTCATGTCATGCAGAACATGATGGCACATGATCCAACCTGGAAAGCCCAAAAATATAAGAAGCTCTTTCTTCCTGAGTTCGTTGGCTACAACTTAGCTGAATGTGATTTCATAATTGGTCCTGCTCTTGTTGGCCAACACTGGTTTTGCGTTGCCATTCAGCCTAGCACATTGGATTTCCACGTAATAGACTCCATGAGGAACCATTTCGGAACCAAGGACAGAAAGCAGAAGAAGAAGGTTGTCATCAAAGACCCAGTGGAAATGGCTGTGGATGATTGTGTAAGAAAAAACTCATTATCTTTACCCTAGTTTTTGAACTTGGAAAATCATTAAACTTTCTATGTTGGTCCTGAATGTTGTTGCAGAGGAAGAGGCTCAATATTATACTGGACTTGGTCAAGCCAGGATTGGTTGGGAAAAAGCCAATGTCTCCCATGATATTTGCAGCAGTTCCCCAGCAGAATAACCTGTCAGTTTTGTCAAATTCGATTTCTGTGGGGTAAATGCACATGTCAGATGTGTTAACTAACTGTGCTGATATTGTTGCGTCCACAGGAGGGATTGTGGGGTGCACTGCATGATGTGGCTGAGAAGATGGGAACCTGGTGTGACCCTTACCTACACAGAGGAAGAAGTTGCTGGCTTTCGTCGTGACCTGACATGGTGGTTGGTCAATCATGAACAGAATGAAAAACGTGACGAGGCATTGGCCCTTATTCGACGACCACAACCAACCAAGAGCACAAAGTCCAAGAAAAGGCGTCGGTCTTAGGTGTCTCGATGTTAGGGTCATAATTCACTTGTCCTCTGTTAGATTGCTGTATGTAATGTGCATTGTAGGCTGACCAAAAATTTACTGTGTATTGTTATGGTTAACAAAGATTGGTGTCCATAAATGTATGATAGTTGAGAACCATGATGCCAATTTATTCCCCAGTGACATGAATGAATCTGGTTTTAACCACACAAAAACAGATGCTGACAACAACCCCATTGGACATGTGCTATTGGTTTTCATTTTTTGTTCAGGTCACTAAATTTTACTTCAATATATCCTGTTGGTATCCAACAGAAAATGACCAGAACAAATTTAAAAATGATACGAAGTGAAGCGAATATGACAGCGATAATGACAAGGATCACCTGGTCTGATTTTACAACATCAGTTCAACACGGCTGTCAGCTTATGCTGATAGCATCACTGCCAATGACCAGAACAAATTTAAAAATGACACGAAGTGAAGCGAATATGACAGCGATAATGACAAGGATCACCTGGTCTGATTTTACAACATCAGTTCACACGGCTGTCAGCTTATGCTGATAGCATCACTGCCAATGACCAGAACAAATTTAAAAATGACACGAAGTGAAGCGAATATGACAGCGATAATGACAAGGATCACCTGGTCTGATTTTACAACATCAGTTCAGCACGGCTGTCAGCTTATGCTGATAGCATCACTGCCAATGACCAGAACAAATTTAAAAATGACAACAAGTAATGCGCCATTAACAAAAGCTAACATCCCCATAACAGTAACTTCCTTTCATGTATTCAACAAGTGGACATTAAGATACTAGCCACACTTAATGCTCCGTTATCACTGAAATAACTATCAGCTTACTTACAAAAAAATGTCTCCACCTAGCTCCTAACTACAACCCCAGTCCCAAAAAAGTTGACAAGGGCGGAGCATACAACTATGTACACCAAAAAATGACCCATCCCCACTGTACTCGAAACTTCATGATGGGTTAGGATTTCTGCAATTCCTCCTTGTGTGTCCAGGCTGGTGGCATCTTCCACAGTGGTATATCCGTTTGTTCTGGAACTGTGATTCATCCCTGTTTACTTTTGGCCTTCCTGGTGGTCGGGATGTCATGGGAGGTAGCAAGAAAACTTGCTCACTGACATTTTCTATTCTATAGTAGTCATTTGGGTGAGGCATGTCTGTTGTTACCACAGGAATCATACTGCGAGCATAGATCTTTTCTTGTGATGACTTTTTATAGCAATTATCAATATAATCATAAACATTGCCGTGCACAATCTTGATGGCAGCACAAGCATGGGAACAAGGGATCCCCGTCATTTGCCAAGATCTGCAACTGCATTGGTGTAGTCCAAGATCAACCCGATGGTCTCCACGTGATGTTGTCACCTTCACTCTTCCCCCACCATAATTTTCAGCATACATATGGTCAGACCCAGCCACCATATCCAGCACCTTACTCTCTATATTTGGACCAACGCAATTCTTCCATTTGGTCATACCCACATAGGAGGCATGCAGCTTTCTTGCAACTTTATCTCGGTGCTCATAGATCAATTGGGGTACAGTATGCTTTCTCTCATTCACCATCCATGAATTGAATGATTCTGCTATATTGGTTGTAATATTGTCCCATCTTTTATATGGGAACCTACTTTTAGCCCACCTATCTACATCCCCATGATGAATAAGCCAATCAAATAGCCTTGGAGAAAAGGATCTCATGTCATCCATTGCTGCCTCAAATTTCTCATCCGTCCTTGCGTATGCAATTTTATCCAATAAATATAGTGCATCCTCCTTTGATCGGCCATTTGTCCTTGTTTGCCCTTATTCATTTTCATAACTTCTGAACTAAAATTCTCCTTGATGTGTCTATAACAAAAGGCATGCCTTTGACCCCCAAAGATTGATGCCACTCCTCCGATGATAGCATTGTGTCGATCTGATACAATCGTTACTTCCACAGAACCCAGGATTTTTTTTATCATATAGAAAAACCACGTCCAGTCATCTAGTGTTTCTCCCTTCACAATTGCAATTGCAAATGGCAGCAGCTCGTTATCTGCATCATAAGCTGAAGCTGACAACATTGTCCCCTTGTATGGTCCGCTTAAGTGAGTTCCATCAACATACATAATATGCCTCGCGCCACCCAGGAAACCCTCAATGCATGCCCCGTAAGCAATGAAAACACGCTCAAACCGGTTCCCAATAGCAGTCCATTCAGCCACTGATTTTTCATCTGTTTCCTTTATCCTTTCGCATAGCCATGGTATGAGCATGTATGATTGTTCGGGCCTGCCATATATGTCTTCCAGTGACTCTCTTGCTCTATAAGCCTGTTTATATGTTAGATCAATCCCATACTCTCGTTTCAACCTCTTCCTTATCTCAGAAGTGCGCTTGTCTGCATGATCCCTCATCTCATCAATTATTATTGATGAGTTCAAACTAGCTCTTCCACTATGCATCACGTCCAAGCTATCTTGGGCAGAATGAACATGCCGGTTTATAAATGTCGTCACTCGTAGCACATCACAACTCTTCCCCACATGATTTGCACATAGCTTCCATGGACAACCCTCAACTTTACACCTTATCGACATGAATTCCTTGCTATTCCTCATATACTTGGCCACAAACTTGTTTGCAAGTGCAAACTTGTATACAGACACCCGAAATACATCTGCACTAGGAAAACGTTGGCCCACTCCTGTTAAAAGTCCCCTCCATTCCGCATGAACCATCTCACTACCATCCGTATCTTCAGCTCCGATAGATTTATCCACATTAGGGGGCCCACTTATTTCATCATTGTCACATTCACGAGCATTTTCTTCACTGAGCCAGCCATAATCACAACACAAACTAATGGGAGACGCATCCAGTTCAGTTTGCTGTGACATGCCCATGAATCTCTCTGTTCTGCATTCATAATGACAAGACTCGTTAACACAAATGACAAGAAGAAATTCATAAATGACAACAAATAGTTAGGACAAACTCCACTTACATTTCTACATTGTCCCTTGGTTGGGGACCCACTTGTCTTTTTTCGGCGACATACACATGACCGCTGTTCCCATTGTATTGAAAGAGGTTATACATTTCAGCATTGTCATGAAGGTCAATCAATGTCTTCTCATCAAAGGCCACTGTGTACTTAATGTCATAATTTCTTCCATCGCCACCAATCCACTCAGATATCATTAGCCTCAATTCATCAAGTGTCAGCCCATCCTTAATGCTTCTTAACCTCACGCCACCTCCATTATATCTCACTTCACCTTCACCATTTGTCACAAATTTCCCCCCACATGAAAATAACAGAACAGCTCCTTCCCACAAGATGACCCAGCTGCGAAATTCATTTATCTTCATTACCTGCACTGATAACATAACAGAAGTCGAATGATTATATGACTTAATACATCATCATCAACTTACACGACCAACTTAGGGTTTGACACATTCATGCTTATAATTTGCAACAAAACAATCATTTCTTTCCTGTCCACACTAATGCTTCGTTTCTCAGAATCAATCCACTCCATTATTCGAATCTCCCTCCAACATTGTCCATTTATCTGACACTAATCACTCTAACCCACTTGTGACGCCATCAAAACCCTCTCCCTCAGTGTTTTTCCTTCCCCCTGCATTCACCCTCTGATCACCGTCCTTCCCCCCACACTTTCTATATACCCACGCCGTCTCCATGCTTCGCCACCCTCTCCACCTCAAAACCATCCCCACATCGACGACATTGCCATCCAACGGGAAGAGGAAAATCAACCGGCGCATAAAGGAGAGGGACAAAAGACACAGGCGAACAATATAGTCACTGGATACTAACCTCGCTTCCGTCGTTCAGTTGTTGCTTCGCGCGTTCATGCTCCCACGTTCGTGGTCCCTCCCAACTTTTTCCTCCAGCTCCCGCCACAACTTCCACACTTCCACCGGTCACTTTTTCGGTTTGCATATGAGGGGCTGTTTGTAATTGTGCAACATTTGCATAATCCCAAATCAGGCAACACTTCCCTATCTGGTAATACATTTGCTTAGCTTCCCATTCTGGCATTTTATTATTTCAGCCTTCTTTATCTGTCATTTTCC